CGAAAATCGGCTTAGAAATATCACTTTTTTTCAATTTATTATTGAAAAAACCGTAAAAATTCGCTATCGAACGATACTCAAATTTTGTCTATATTCTTCATAAAATTTTAACTATTTAGAAATGATCTCTAAAGAATATGCCATTATAAAGAAAAAAGTATGCTCTTTCGTTTGGAATAGACCGATGTTCGAAATTCGGCTTAGAAGTATCACTTTTTTTCAATTTAGTATTGAAAAAACCGTGAAAATTCGCTAACGAACGATACTAAAATTTTGTCTATATTCCTCATAAAATTTTAACTATTTAGAAAAAATCTCTAAAGAATATGCCATTATATAGAAAAAAGTATGCTCTTTCGTTTGGAATAATCAGATGTTCGAAAATCGGCTTAGAAATACCACTTTTTTCAATTTAAAATTGAAAAAACCGTAAAAATTCGCTATCGAACGATACTCAAATTTTGTCTATATTCTTCATAAAATTTTAACTATTTAGAAAAGATCTCTTAAGAATATGCCATTATATAGAAAAAAGTATGCTCTTTCGTTTGGAATTGACCGATGTTCGAAATTCGGCTTAGAAGTATCACTTTTTTTCAATTTAGTATTGAAAAAACCGTGAAAATTCGCTAACGAACGATACTAAAATTTTGTCTATATTCCTCATAAAATTTTAACTATTTAGAAAAAATCTCTAAAGAATATGCCATTATATAGAAAAAAGTATGCTCTTTCGTTTGGAATTGACCGATGTTCGAAATTCGGCTTAGAAGTATCACTTTTTTTCAATTTAGTATTGAAAAAACCGTGAAAATTCGCTAACGAACGATACTAAAATTTTGTCTATATTCCTCATAAAATTTTAACTATTTAGAAATGATCTCTAAAGAATATGCCATTATATAGAAAAAAGTATACTCTTTCGTTTGCCATGGTCGGTAGTTCGAAAATCCGCTTAGAAATATCACTTTTTTTCAACTTTTAATTGAAAAAACCGTGAAAATTCGCTATCGAACGATACACAAATTTTGTCTATATTCTTCATAAATTTTAACTATTTAGAAAAGTTATTTAAAGAATACGCCATTATATAGAAAAAAGTATGCTCTTTCGTTTGCCATGGTCGGAAGTTTGAAATTCGGCCTATAAATATCACTTTTTTTCAATTTATAATTGAAAAAACCGTGAA